AATACAGTAAGAAACTTTGAAGGGGAATCTTCTAATATGGAGTTTGTTAGAAATGAGGTAGATGCATTGTACTATGAAATGGTAGTTGATGCAATGGGTGCACAGTTCGAATACAATGAGGGGCCAATGGCTGAGGAGCCAAATAGTAAAGCAAGAGAATTTTATGATCTCTTGCATGTTGCAGAATTTCATATAGGTGTTGGGGGATAGGATGTTACAGTATTTTCATGGATGGCAGAAATGCTAAACATGAAAACCCTTTATAATATGAGTGCTGCTAATTGAGAGATAGCATTGTCATTGAGTCGAAAGTTGTTGAGTCCAGAGGACCAAGAAAAGGTGCCAAAGGATTTTTACAATGCCAAAAAAATGATAAATGTGCTTAGACTTGAGCACAAGAAAATTGATATTTGTGTCAATGATTGATTCTTGTACTATAATGAGCAAAGTAAGAATTTAACTGCTTATCTAGTGTGTGGAGAATCTCGTTATGAGTCGAGGAATATGTCCGCTATAAGGCAAAAAGATGTTCCAAGGAAATCTTTGTAATACCTTCCAATTACCCCAAGTTTGCAGCGACTATACATGTCTAGGAAAACAACAGAGCACATGCCATGACTTTGAAATGCCGCGAGGATTCGGATGAAGTTATTCATCTTGCGAGTAGTGAGGCATGGAAACACTTTGATGAAACCCACCCAACATTTACTGAGGAACCTAGAAATGTTAGACTTGGCCTTTGTACAGATCGTTTCAATCCATTTGGTTGCTCTGCAACACCTTACTCTTGTTGGCCTGTTTTTCTTATAGTGTACCAGCCACTTCGTAAACATTCAATTGCAGGATTTGGTGTTTTTCATAATTGCGTGAAACATAATATATTTTGGAAATTGCCATACTGGAAAGATTTATTGATTCGTCATAACCTTGATGTCATGCATTGTGAGAATAATTTTTTAGATAACATTAAAAATATTATCAAGGATGACAAGGGTTGTACGAAGGATAACACCAATGCTAGATTGGATCTACAACTGTATTGCAATATATCTGAATTAGAATTGATACCTCAAGATGATGGAACAGCTATAAAACCCAATGCTACATATGTTCTTACTCGAGAGCAATGAGCTCTTATCTGTCAATGGCTGAAGGAATTGAGATTCCTAGATGGGTATGCATCCAACATAGCATGATGTGTTAACATGCAGGAACTTCGATTGTTTGGGATAAAAAGCCATGATTGTCATCTATTCATGCAGCATCTCTTGCCAATTGCTTTTCGTGATTTTCTTATAGATGAAGTTTGGGGTCCCTTAACTAAGATTAGTAGCTTTTTTAGAGCTTTAACTGCTCTGATTATTCAAGTCAGTAACATGACGATGTGGGAGGAAAAAATTGTTGAGACCATTTGCAATTGCAAGCTAGAGAAAGTATTCCCGCTAGCATTCTTTCACTCGATGGAGCATTTGCCTATCCATCTACCATATAAGGCAAAAGTTGGAGGACCTGTCCAATTTCGTTGGATGTATCCTTTTAAAAGGTATATTTCTTCTAATATATCTTTGTATCATAATAACATTCATGAGCATATTTAATAATTTAATGTTATTAATTAATTTTCTTATTTGTTTAATAGAAAAATGCATGACCTTAAGAAAACAGTGTTGAACAAAAATCATGTTGAAGTTTTGATTTGCGAGTCTAATATTCTTTTAGAAATTACCTTCTTTTGCTCGCATTATTTTGGATCTGACATAAAGACAAGATTGAATTGTCAACCAAGAAACATTGTCGGGGTGAATGATGATATGAATAATTGTTTGTTTGTCTTTAAATATCAAGGTCAACCACTAGGTGGAAAAATGCGTAGGCGTGCACTGTCACCCAAAGAATTAAAGGCAGCAGAACTTTATGTTTTGCTTAATTGTGAAGAAGTTAATCCATGGATTACATATGTTCTCTAGTTCTAACTTTCATTTATTTAAGTTACTAGTATGTATAGATTGTTTACTCCAACTTCTTCACGTAGGCTTTTTGATTATCAAGTATGTTCCGGTTTATCAGACGATCAAATTCAAATCAAACGGCAACTTAAATTTATTCCTTGGTTTAAGACAATGGTAAGTAATTTATTTTAATAATTTTTATTATTAAGATCTCAATTTTTATATATTTTAGGGTTAAATATTAAATATTTTTATAACAAATGTAGATGCGTAGTGGAAGAGATGAGGTTGATTCTCGTCTTTTGCCTTTAGTAACTGGCCCAATCAGTAACATTAAAGTAGACAATGGTTATTAGATTAATAGATTCTGATTTCATATTATCATATATGGACAAAATAAAAAAAACCATGAATAGCAGTGTTTATGTGAAGGGAACCATTTTCAATGATGAGTTAGATTATTATGGGAGTTTGAAGGAAATAATTGAGTTTCAGTATTTTGACTCATATGTTCATCAATCAGCGATTTTGTTCAAGTGTGAGTGGTATGATATCAACAAGGCACCGTGGTCCATCCAACATCTAGTATAGTTGACATAAATCCTCGGTTTAAATTACAAATAGATGAACCATTCATATTGGCCAGTCAAGCTCAACAAGTGTTTTATGCCCGTTATCCATCTTAAAATCCTTGTAGAAAAGGGTGGCTTGCTGCATGTAAGATTAAAGCAAGAGCAATAATTGACACTTCATCGTTGAGTGATGGTGGAAATGTTTATTATTAAGACGATGATCCTCCTATGCCACAATTGGTGTAACCCTTGACTGTTTTAAATGATCATGTTTCAATAGCATCTCAAGGGGGAGAACAAGTGGTGATTAGTGAGGTCATGCAATTGCCATATGTGGCAGGGGAAGAATGTGTGGGTGAGGATGATGATGAAAAGGAAGAGTTTGATGGAACAGAAACATCAGAAGAAGAAGTTCCAAATTACTTAACCGAGAGTGATAGTGACTAAATGTATCTTATTTGATTTTTTTAATTAACTGAATAAGGGATGAAGGACTACTTATATTTTCTTTATTATGTGTTTCCGTTAATGACTTTTATATTTATATCAATATACATTTATAATTCTTTATATTGATATTTATAGTGAAGTTATATTTATATATTATTATATTTATATTGAT